CCCCAAAATATAAATTTTATATGAGAGAAAAAATAGTTAAAATATACAGCAGACCAGGAAAAAACATGTACTACATAATGGATTAATGTAGGAGTTACAAAATAATACTGGCAAGTTAATAGGATAAAGGTGAACATAGTAGAAAAGTGAACAAAACATATTAATGCATCGTAATTCACAGAAGAGAAATATAGTTAGCTAATATCAAAAATGCAAATTCAAACAAGAAACTTTTTTTTTCAAAACCATATATTGGATCAATGTTAAGAAATACAAGTTAAAACAAGATGCCTTTTGTCTGTCAGCATGGCCAAAATGTAAAAGAGTATTAATGCTAATTGTTGATGAAGGCAAGGAAAACAGGTACTTTTGTGTTTTATTGGTGGGAACAGAAATTGGTTCATCTTTTTTAGAAGTCAATTTGAAGGTGCCATAAAAATTTAAAGGGGCAGTGGTGGTTCAGTGGTAGGATTCTCACCTCCATGGGAGAGACCTGGGTTCAGTTCCTGGCCGGTGTACCTCTAGCGCACCCACCACCTATCTGTCAGTTGCCATGATGCTAAACAGGTTTCAGCAGAGCTTCCAGACTAAGATGGACTAGGAAAAAATGCCTAGTAACTACTTCTGAAAATTAGCCAGTGAAAATCGTATGGATCCTGACAGTCCGATCTGCAACCATTCGTGGAGATGGTGCAGAGCCGGGCAGTGTTTTGTTCCATTGTGCATGGGGTCACCATGAGTCAGGAGCTGACTAGACCACAGCCAACAGCAACAAAGTTTTAAATGCATATAGCCCTTAGTTCCATTTTTCATCCTCCAGGCCTCTCTGTATGGCCTCTGACCATCAGGTAGCCTCATCAGAGCTGCTTTACAGTTTGGCACCAGGTTTCTAAGGAAGGGAAAGAGAAGCCTCCAGGTCTCTTCAGGGTTAGGTTAGGTTGGGCCTAGTAGAACCCACATTTTATCATCCCAAACAGGTTACAGGCAGCCAAGATTCAAGGAAGGGAGTCTAGCTTCTGATGGGAAGAATGACTTAGAATTATGTATTAGTTATATTTTCAGACAAACTACCATATAGGGAGAGGAAAGCATATTGCTCCATGTAATGTCTTAGTAAGATCTCTTAAGTGTTTATATGTTTTATATGCATTCACAATATTTTATTGTTTGGTTCCACATTTCCTCCCTGATTTAGACCGTGTGACTAGTTTTTTTTTCTTCTGTTGTTGTTCTTGTGGTTTGTGGATGAATTATGTGAACAAACAAAAACACACAGTAAAACCCCACTGTAACACACTAAGTGGAGTTCAGAAATTCAATTTTGTAAACCCTGGTGTTGTGTTATTGTGAAGTTAATTAAAAACAGTGTTTTATCAGTAGGTGGTGGTGTCATAAAATTAAAGATTATGAAACTTTCACTATGCACAGTTGATCTTACACAGGACTAAGAAATTCCCAAGTGATCCTGAGGCATTTGCTTATATACACACACACACAAATGTGAGAATTTGATCCCACCCCAGTTTGAGAATGGGGAATGTGGTTAGGTGCTGTACAGTAGCTAAACATCAATTATGTTATAGTCACTAAATTCACAATTTTAAGTGCTGGACTACTAGCTAAAAGTTTGGCAATTCAACCCCCCTCCCCCAGGGTCACTCAGAAGTAAGGCATGGTGATCTGCTTCCAAAAAGTCACAGCCTTAAAAACCCTCTGGAGCAGTTCTGTTCTGCACACATGCGGGTCTATGAGTCAGAATCCACTGACAGCAATTAACAACATTTGTAGGAAAAAAAAAAAAAATTATATATATATAGAGAGAGAGGCTCTGGTAGCATAGTGTCTAAGGCACTTGACTGCTAACCAAAAGGCTGGTGGTTCAAACTCACCAGCCACTCTTCAGAAGGAAGGTTGGGCAATCCTACTTCGGAAACCCAAGGAGGGGTGCTATGAGTCAGGGCGGGCCGGGGGCCAACTCCATGGCAAACAACAACAACAGTCTTTTTAGATCTAGCAGGTCATTTCAGCAAGTGCTCTCTAAGTGCTTTTAATGTGTATCATGTGCCCTGGGGAGAGACACAAAAGATGAGTGAATCACCTGGCTACTGCAACTGGGGGTGGGGGGATGAGGGGAGAGCTTGACATGACCTTTTAAAGTGATCAAGCCACCTGGATGTTAGGATGAGCTGTACGCAGAGGGAGCTATATTTCCACACAGACCACCACTAGTGCCCAGAGAACGGGCAGCAACTGGATTGGAAGTAAGATTTGAAGGACAAGTAGTAGCTGATCAGTAGAAAAGCTGAGTGTGGAAGGAAAGGGGCACATTCCAGGCAAAGGAAACAGATTGAGCAAACACAGCTCAGCACTGTAGAGAAACCAATAGCAGCTTCAGCCAATGAGATCATGTTGTACTTTGTGCCTGTTTGGATGGCATTGGCAGGTGTTTCTGGTTCCTTGAGCTTAAGAATAAAGAAGTCAGCAGGCCCCAGGGTGTGACAGGTCTCCTAGGCCAGGCTAGAGCCCATGCACTGAAGGGCTGTGGCAAGAGAAAGACTGGAGCCCAGAAGGCCACGTAAGGCCTGTTGCCAAGATTCAGAGGGGACGACATGACCTTGAACCAGGAGTGTGTCATCGGAATGATCACATGTATTATCATTACACGGGAAATCTATGAATAGCTGAAAGGAAAATTTATTCTTATGCCATATTGTTAAGATCATACTGCATTCTCAACAAGATCATAAGTTAGTCATATGAAGTCTACTCGTTCTTCTAATAATGTTTTTAACCTTAGCATATTTCTATTTTTAATTTATAACATAACAAATTTGTCTTTTAACTTTGCTGCAGAAGCAATCAGGAATTTGGTTTCTTGAATCACTCCCCTCTCGCCATGCACAATTTGTCGTCCAATTTGGTAGTCCAAAATCCTTTATAAATTCTGTATCTGTATCTTGCCTAGTATCCAAATGACCAATTGACATTTTTATGTCATAGGCTTGCTTTATGTTACTGTCATGATTCACTTGTCTTTTATAAATGCTGCCTTCTGCTTTGATGAAACATTTTACACATATATATAAATGTCATGACTTCTGTGCTGTGGTGCTTTGCTGGCAGTAACTTCAATTCCTTTAGGTCTTAAAGTACTTGTCTCTCTCCTCCCCATCCTTCAAAGAGGAAGCTTGTCTGAGAAATGGCTTACTTAGGTGGTAGCTTCATTTCTCTTAAATTTATGTACATTTGGTGAATTACAGACCAAACTACAAAAGAGTAAATCTGGCTTAATATAAGAGCTTCTGGAATCAGCTGGTTTTGAGAAAAATGATGGACATGAATCAGCAAGTAGCTTAAGGCAAACTGTTACTAAAATAGGAGTTCTGGTGGCGTAGTAGATAAGGCATTTGGCTGCTAACCAGAAAGTCAGCAGTTCAAACCCACCAGCTGCTCCACAGAAAGAAGATGGGGCAATCTACTTCTGTAAAGATTTACAGCCTTGGAAACCAGATGGTGGTTGCTATGAGTCAGAATCAACTGGATGGCAGTGAGGTGGTTTTTTTTTTATTATTATTTTATTGCTAAAATACTTACCACTGTGATATAATACAGAGATAAGGATTGATACCATTGCCTGTTTTAGATTATGTGGCTCTTACTTTACATAGGGCACAAGTCCTGCCCAGCTATCAAGGCTAGGCTAAAAGCCACTCCAAAGAAACCAATAGCAGCTTCAGCCCATGGGATCATCTTTTACTGTGCTGGAAGCACCTTGTTTTCACAGTAATTAACTGGTATGTGATTTTTGCATTGACCAGAGTCACTGTGTGTTTTACAAAGGACAGTTGTTATGGCAGCATCATGCCTCACTTAGGCTAACTAGCCTGTATCCTTCATTAGTTTAATTCAGCAAATATGTGCAGCACTCCGCCCTTTCAGCACATTCTCTGGGGCAGACAGCGAGGTCTTCATCCCCCAAGTACTTAACAGGCTTTTTAAGTCTTTGTAGCCCTTCCTACTGTAACTATGAACAGCAGGATTTTGGTTACCCGAGTAGCCACTGTAGCTGGGGTCTGCCTCGTGCAAGGAAGGGAAAGAAGTGAACATTTAGTGAACTTGGGTGTGGTGCTAGCTGTTTTACGTACATCAGCTCATTTGTTAATGAGGCTATCAAGGCTGTCAAGGAGAATGTGTTCAAAATGCATAAAGGTTTTCTTTTTAACCTATATTATGTAAATAACCCATGTTTAATTTCTTAACACTCTTAAGTTTGAAATCTTCACTGTATAAGCATGTCCTGGTTGTTTTCTAAAGCTAATCTGATGCAGACCAAACCAAAACCAAACCCGCTGCCATAGAGTTGATTCCAACTCCTTGCTACCCTATAGGGCAGAGTAGAACTGCCCCACAGGGTTTCTAAGGCTGTAAATCTTTATGGAAGCACACTGCCTCAGCTTTTTCCTGTAGGGCAGCTGATGAGTTCAAACTGCCGACTTTTCAGTTAGCAGCCACATGCTTTAACCACTGTACCTTTAGAGCTCCTTTAATCTGATGCAGTCTTTATTAATAAATAGGAACTCACTGGCATCAAATCAGATCCAACTCATAGCAACCCCTCCTTGGGTTTCTGAGGTGGTCACTAGGGAAATAGATTGCCCAACAGTCTTTCTGAGCAGTGCCTGGTGGGTTTGAACCGCCATCCTTCTAGTTAGCAGTCAAATGCCTTAGGCATTACGCTACCAGAGCTCCCAATAAATAGGAAGGGGGCGTAAATCATGACATGGGTGGAAGGTCAAGACAAATTATCCCATCTTTATACTTCTTGTTGTTGTGTGCTATCAATTCCAACTCATAGTGACCCTATATTTATATTTAGTATACAGAATTTGTTGCGGGGGGCAGGGGGACCAGGTTAAAGACTTCTGCTCAAATGTTTTTCAGACAAAGTTCAAGGACTATGGAGAAAAGTGACCTCTCTCTCTCTTCTGTTTCTTTCTTAGATACATTCCACCACTGATATGGGGGAAAAGTGGACACATCCAGACAGCCTTGTATGGGAAAATGGGAAGGGTGAGGTCACCACACCCATATGGACAGCGGAAGTTCATCACCATGGCTGATGGAGCCACTTCTACCTTCGACCTCTTTGAGCCGTTGGCGGAGCACTGCATTGGAGGTGAGCTAGTTTAGGGCATGTGATTCAGCCATCACTCAGAGAAAGAGGACTGGTTAAGGAGAGAACACAGTGTAAATGCACATGGCACCAACTTTGTACACTGCAGCTGGGGGCTGTTAGGAAATCAGCTGAGATACATCACTTGGAAGCAACCTGCAGGGATTAGCTCTAACATGTGCTTGCAAGGCACCAGAGTAAAGCTCTTAAGATAGCATTGTTGAGTGCAATTATTTTAATCCTCTTGTGGAATACAGAAGCTTGATGTAAGGAGATGAGGGAGAGCTTAGAGTCCAGTCCCATCCCCCCAACCCCCAGGCTTTTGTTGATGACAGAAACAGAAGCCAGGACTGTTCTCAGTGCTTTACATATATTATTCTCTCATTTAATCCTCACACTGACCCTGTGACATAGATGCTACTGTCATCTCTACTTGACTGATGACAAAACTGAAACTTAGCCATGCAGTGGAGGTTGGTTTTGTTAGTTGGTTGCCAGTGGATAGCCAAGGCTCTAAGAAACCCTCAGCTTAGGTTTCTATGGACAAAAAGATGCATTAAGGTCATGTTTATCATGCAGGGGTTTGGGACATCTGTCTGCTTCTCAGAAACAACAGCTCCAGTTTCCATTGCTGCTGGATATGGCATTCTTCTATCCAGCCTACACAATTCCCATTTACTCACTGTTGTCAAGTAGATTCTGATTCATAGCAACCCTGTAGGACAGAATAGAACTGCCCCTTAGGGTTTCCAAGGCTATACTTCAGAAGCAGATTGCCACATCTTTCTCCCAAGGAGCTGGTGATAGGTTTAAACTTCTGACTTTCTGGTTAGCAGCTGAGTGCTTAACCACTGTGCCACGGAGGCTCCTTAGCTTACCACTCATTATACTGGATAATGAGGACTTTTGAGAAAGTGGAGTCAGATGCTAGCATCCTTTTGTTTGAATGTCTTTTCTAGCAGAAGAGAACTTGCCTTTTGAATTCTGTTGTATCAAAGGTACGTAGTTATTTATAGGAGCTCTTAAATATTTATGGGTAAATTCCAGTAAACATTATAACTCTCAGTTATTTAAAGTAACTAGAACTGCTGAGTAGCTAGTGACAAAGGTTTAATTTATGTTCCCTCAGCCTGGAATGCTCTTTCCCAGACCTTCACATGGCTGCCTCCTTCTTGTTATTCAGACCTCAGCTCAGCTGTCACCTCCTCAGAAGAACCATCCCCGACTCCCGTACCTAGTATTTGCTTCCCAGTAAACTTGTTACACCATCTGTCACCTCCTCAGAGGGACCATCCCCGACTCCCGTACCTAATATTTGCTTCCCAATAAACTTGTTACACCATCCAGCTTTATTTCTTCATGCTAACTATTGCTCTTTAAACCTGTTGTGTAATTGTTTGTTATCTGTCTAGTTAAATGTAAGAATCCCTAGAGTCACAGAAGGAATGGATAGATTTAGAAGTTAGAAGTTCACATTATGTTTATAAATCTTGAAACTGGTCTTTCAAATATTTATTTCTCTAGGAGGGTTGGGCAGTCCTACTTCCGTAGTGATACTGCCTCGGAAACCCAAGGAGGGGTCGCTATGAGTCGGGGCCGACTCGACGGCACATAACAACAACAACAACATACCTAGTGTCTTAGTTATCCAGTGCTGCTATAACAGAAATACCACACATGGATGGCTTTAACAAACAAATTTATTTTCTCACAGTTTAAGAGGCTGGAAATCCAAATTAAAGTTGCCGGCTCTAGGGGAAGGCTTTCTCTCTCTGTTGCCTCTGAAGGAGGGTCCTTGTCTCTTTACCTTCTCTTTCCTTGTTCCTTGGCGATCTCCATGTGGCTTGGCACCTATCTTCCCCTCCCTTGGTTTGCTTAATCTGTTCCTTTTATATTTTGTACACTGTGTTAATCGTGTCTTGTTAACATAAAAAAGACAACCCATTCCCAAATGGGATTATAACCACAGGCATAGAGGTTAGGATTTACAACACATATTTTTGGGGGACAAAATTTATTCATAACACCCAATTAAATTTTTTCTCTTGTTTGGAATGCTTTTACTTTTGCAATTAAAACACAAAATTTAGTTTGACCATTTCCCTTCTGGACCAAGGTGGGAAGTTAGAAACAATCAAAACTCTGATTCTTTGTTTTACTTGCCCTTCCCCATCTCTAACATTGACCTACCCTACACTGCAGAAAGGATGAATGAAGATAGTTCTAGGGCAGTATTTGCATTCAAGAAATGCACTGAGTAAAGCAGCCCTTTTTTCATTTTTACACCCATTCCTCACTTAACAACATGGTTAGGTTCCAAAGACCAGGTCATAATGCAAAAATCAGCATTATGTGAAAATGGAGGATGACTACATCAGATCACAAAATGGAGGATGATTACATCATTACATAACTGCCAAATTATATCATTACATAACTGCCAAACCACTGAGAATCATGGCCTAGCCAAATTGGCACATAACCTTAACCATCACAGCCAGCATTACTCTCACCTCACACATTGGTAATTGTTACTGGCAGATGTATGTCATTAATGCATAAACTAGTCTTATAGATTGCTTACTGTTAATATAAATGTGAAATGTCGGATAACAAGGTAAGTGAGTAATAACTATACTTTTTTTCTGAGCACAAAAGAAACACTTACCCATTTTAGAAAACTTAGAAAATGCAGAAACAGTTGAAGAAGAAAATAAGAATCAGCCATAATCCCACTACCCAACATACCATTGTTAACATTTTCTTCCATTTCTATGCATTGTCAAAAATTGGAATTATTACATATATTATAAATTTTTCTTATGTTATTAAAAGTCTGAAAGTCTTCAAAATCATAATTGTAATGATTGTTTAATATTTCATGATGTGGTTATACCATAATTTAACCATTCTTCTCTTGTTGGGCGGAGTCCCTGGGTGGTGCAGTTAATTTACTTGGCTACTAATTGAAAGGTTGGAGGTTTGAGTCTACACAGAGGCACCTCAGAAGAAAGCCTTGGTGATCAATTTCTAAACAATCAGCCATTGAAAGTCCTATGGAGCTATTCCAACACAGTTGGGGTTGCCATGACTTGAACTCTCCTCAATGGCAACTGATTGGCTGTTGTTTACAGATTTGTCACTATAAGCATCCTTAATCATAAATTTTTTTAAAAAAAAAATTTTACTGTCATTTGGGTGAAATTTTACAGCGCAAATTCATTTTCCATACAGCAGTTCACATACACATTGTCTCATGACATTGACTGCAATTTCCCATAATGCGGCAGCTCCCTTCCCATTTCCTCCCCATAGTTACCTCTTCCCTGTGTCCTTCCCTCCTATGCACTCCTGCCCCCTGAGCTGTCTCCCTGTGCATACGTAGCCCTTCTATTCTCCCATGATTGATCTCTCCAATGAGTATATTTACCTAATGTAAGTGTTCAGGTCGTATGCCTGTCTTTTTTTTGGCTGGAAGCCACAGGAGTGGGTTCAATTCCAGACCTGAAGGGCAGCTAGGGGCCATTTTTCAGGGGTTGCACCAGACTCTATCAGACCAGCAAACTGGTCCCTTTTTTTTTTTTTTTTTTTTTAATGATTTTGAGTTTTGTTCCACATTGTTCTCCCATTCTTTCCAGGCTCTCCTACATAGACCCCCACCAAGTGGTTGACAGTGGTAGCCAGGCACCGTTTAGTTCTTCTGGTCTCATAGTCATATAGGCTGAGGATGGAGTTCCAGTTCCTTGGACTAATTGTTTACATGTGTCTTTGGTTTTCTTCATTCTTCTTTGCTCTGGACAAGGAGAGACCCATCATTGCATCTAGATGGCCACTTGCAAGCTTTTAAGCTTAATCATGAAATTTTAAGCATGATTTCAAGAATTGCAATTACTTCATCAAAATTTATGAATTTATAAACATTCTTTATAAATACTGTCAAGTTGCTTACCAATTTGCCTATCCTTACCAGCATTAAGAATTTTTTCATTGTTTTTATCTTAACTTTTGAAAGGAAAATTAATGATCAGATTTAATGACCCAAACACTACTTTCTTTTAAAGAAAAATATGTATCCGTATTTTTTAATAGGGTAATTCGTACCCTTGATAAAAAATTCAAAAGGTACTAAAGATGATACAGTGAAAGTGTAAGTCTCTCTCCTACCTCTGTTCCACACACAAGACCCCTCCCTAGTGGTACTCACTCTTACATTTCTTATGTATCCTTCCAGAACTAGTGGATCCATTTATAAACCTGTTGTTAGTTTGTCATCAGGTCGGTTCCGACTCATGGCAATCCTGTGTGTTTCAAAATAGAACAGCTTCATAGTGTTTTCTTTGCTATAATCTTAATGGAAGTAGATCACTAGCTTTTTGCCTATAGTACCACTGGGTAGGTTCAAATCACCAGCCTTTAGATTAGCAGTTGAACAAAATGAAAGGAAGGTTGAGCAATCTACTTCCGTAGTGATACCACCTCAGAAACCCAAGGAGAGGTCACTATAAGTTGGATCCGACTCAATGGCAGTGAGAGGGACTTTATTTATCAACCTAGATATCTTTTTTCTCCGCAAAAATGGTAGCATAATATGACCCTCTTCTATACCTTGCTTTTTTTCACTTAATATATGTTCAGGAGCTTGCCATTTCAGTGTTTTATTCTGTTTTTAATTTTGTTTATTTTGCTGCTGTTGAGAATACACACAGCAAAATATACACCAATTCAACAGTTTCTCTGTATACAGTTTAGTCACATTGACTACATTCTTTGAGTTGTGCAGTCGTTCTCACCCCCCTTTTCTGATTTGTTCCTCCTCCACTAACATAAACTCACTTCCCCCTAAGGTTCCTGTCTTATCTTTTGAATTGCTGTTGTCAAGTAGATCCCATATAGATAGATCTTGAAAGAGTGCGATGCTCAAGGCAGACCTTTTTTACTAGCTAAGCTAGACTGTTGTTTGGTTTTAAGAAGACTTCAGAGGATAGTTTGGGTTTATGGTTTAACAATTATCTCAGGGCCATAGTTTGAGGAGTTCATCCAGTCTCCATGGATCCAGAAAGTCTGGATTCCATGAGAATTTGAAATTCTGTTCTGCATTTCCCCCTTTTAATCAGGATCCTACTATGGAATCTTTGATCAAAATGTTTGGTAGTGGTAGCTGGGTACCATCCATTTGTCTCTGGTCTCATGGCAAAGGAGACAGTTTATGAAGACAGTTAGCCACATATTCCATATCCTTCTCCTATTCCTGAGTCTCCTTCCTCCTCACTTGCTCCAGGTGAATAGAGACCAATTGTTGTGCTTTGGATGGCCACTTGTAAGCTTTTAAGACCCCAGACACTACAAATACAGTTTATATAAAGATGTCTCATTATATTTAAGGATTACATAACCTCCCATCCCTTGGATATGCAATAATTTACTTAGCCAGATGCCTATTTCTGGACAATTAGGTTGTGTTCAGTCTTTTGCCATTATAAAATCTATACTGTAAAAATATATTTTACATATGTACAGGGGTATCTGTAGAACAAATACCTGAAAGCAAAATTGTTGTGCAAAAAGGTCTGTGCAAAAATTAAAAAAAAAAAAAAAATTTTCCCCCCACTCATTTATTCATACATTCACTCAGCAAGCATTTAGCACCAGTTATGTGTCAGACAAGAGTTCCTGGGTGGAAGTTGTAATTTACCCAGAAACACGCTGGAAGAAAGGCGTGGTGATTCCCTTCCAAAAAATCAGCCTCTGAAAACGCTATGGAGCACAGCTTTATTCTTGACAAATGTGGGGTCACTATGAATCAGAGTTGAATTGACAGCAACAATACTAGGAGCTAAGGATACAATGAAGTGTCTTTTCTACTCATTCTTTCAAGAAAAGGCTAGAAATCCTTACCAGGTGGAACACTGCAGACCAGTGCTTCTCAAAATGTAGTCCACAGCCCAATGCTCGTCCATGGGTCATTTGTTATGTTTTGTAATAAGTGTAGAAATTGAGAATAATGTTAGGAAACTTGCATAACAATTCAACAAAGTAATTTTATATCTGTTCAATCTAATGAAAAATTGAGGCTTATACTTTTTTCACACATTTTTCTAGTAATCAGTTTTTATTGTATTTGTCAAAAGTATCTCTGTATGGACTCAAAATTTTAAAAACCAGACCTTCACCATAAATAGTTTGAAAAGTGTTGATATAGACGGCTCCAGCTAGAAGGGAAAGATAGTCTTTCCCAGAGAATTGAGTGGAAAGATGGATATTAAGGTCCTCCTACCATTTTTTTCAGTCATTGTTATTGTTATGTGCCATCAAGTCCTCTCCAACTCATAGTGATGACCCCTCCTTGGGTTTCCAAGGCGATATCTCTATGGAAGTAGATTGCCCAGTCTTCCTTCCAAGGAGTCAGTGAAGTGTAATTATATCCATTTGTATCCATTTATCATGTCTTCAGGAGCTCTGGTGGCCTACTACCTAAAGCATTAGACTGCTAACCAGAAGGCTGGCCGTTCAAACCCACCAGCCACTCCTCAGAAGGAAGGTTGGGCAGTCTACTTCTGTAGTGATACTGCCTCGGAAACCCAAGGAGGGGTCGCTAAGAGTTGGGTCCGACTCGATGGCAGTGTGTTGTTGTTTGTTTTGTTACTGTGTCTTCATTTATTGGATACATTGGGATCTCTTTCTCCACCCTGTAGATGATATCACCATGGTCATCTGCCCTGGAATTGCCAATCACAGCGAAAAGCAATACATCCGCACCTTCGTCGACTATGCCCAGAAAAATGGCTATCGGTGTGCTGTGCTAAACCACCTGGGTGCCCTGCCCAACATTGAACTGACCTCACCACGCATGTTCACCTACGGTAAGCATGGGACATGGCCAAGTGGATGGAGTCCCTCTTTTTTCTGGTTCTCACTGCAAGTGCACTGCTCCTTCTGCTTCTGCCTTATTTTCAAGTTTAGAGTTTATACCCTATCTACAAGAATGCCACAAGAGGAAGAAGAGGCATTACGTCTATAAAAATTTATAGCCTTGGAAACATAGTCAGGGTCGCTATGAGTCAGAATCAACTTGATAGCGTCAGAATCAACTTGATAGCATTGGGTTTGTTTTTTTTTTTACAATTGAGCAGAGAGGTGGGGCAGAAGAAATTGTGGGGCACACAGTAGCAGCCAACTTATATTGGGCATTTATGATGCCATGCCCAACGTCAGCCTTTCCATCTCACAGAGGCCGAAACTGAAACTCACAGGAGAAGGTATTGTCTAGAGTCTCCAGCTCATAAGTGTCAAAGCAGGGTTGGGAGCCCGGTCATTGGGCAGCTTAGCTCTCTCCCTTCGCTACGCTGCCATCTTGATGCTCATTCCTCAGGACGCATGTGACTGGCAGGGTGGTGATGAGGCATGTGGATGTCAGTGGTTAGGGGACCTGACACAGTAGCAACTTACTGGTTTTCAAGTTCCTTGAGAACAGAAACTGTATTTCATATTTAAAATAAGCTTTATGACTGTAATCATAATTGAAGCCCTATGGTTCTGAGGCTCTGTCTTCTGGACTACTCATTCTTGGTTCTATTTTATCTCTCCCTTCAGATTATATATGACACATAAATAATGAACACATGAAATATTTCTACATATGCACAAACATTTGAGGTGTTTATGACCAAATGAATTCTATTATGTTTTAATGGGAAACAGCCTTCATTGTATCTATAGTCTCACCATAGCCATAATTTTTTATTTCTTCATTTCATCTGCCCATTCTGCCTTTATGTATAAATAGTTTTTATTTAGTTGAAATCAGTCTATATCTATGGTGACTTATTTAAATCACTGTGTTAAATTCACTAACATAAAGATGTGTGGTCATTATATTTAATCACTTTAAGAACCCATTGCTATTGTCACTCCACTATCATTTATTTAACCATTCCTCTTGGTGGGGTATTGAGGTGACGTATTTCAAGTTTTTTGATATTGTGAGTAATGATGCCCTAAATATCTTGAACATAGCGTTGGGTTTTTTTTGTTTTTTTTTTCCCCCTTCTCTGTAATGACTTCTTTAGAGAAGATTTCCAGGAATGGGTTATGGAATCAACTTTTTTTTTTTTTTTAATGCTCTTGATATATTTTGTCAGATTGTCCTCCAGCAAGGTTGCCCCAGTTTACACTGCCGTTGATAACAAGTAATAGTGTCATCATCCCCTGTAGGGAAGAGTAGGGGTGTAACAGTTGCTCTGTGCCAGGCATAGTGTAGTGTTTCACATCCATTCCCTTCTTTGCACTCACTTTGGCAGTCTTTGCACTCACTGCCACCCTCTAAAGATACCTGTTTTACAGCCAACACGACAGCAACTAACAACAGTTCTGTTCAACAGTGTAGTCAGTGGCTTGAAGGTACAGGTGAATGTTCAGATCTGTAGATGGCACAGGCACATGGGGAGTAGTGGATCCAGAGCTGATCCCAAAGACAGAAACAGGTAGAATCTGACAGAAGTGGAAATGATGGAGAATAATGATAAGATCTCGCACTTGGACATAAAAATCCATCTGTACAAGTAGAGGATAAGGAGGCATGGCTTGGCCACAGGGCCTGGAACAGAGGCTTGGGGGCACTCTCTGACAGCACGTTGTGCCAACAACAAGATCAGAAATGTCTTGCCCACTGAGGGCACTTTTTGTGTACCAGGTGCAGCACTGCTCTCTTACCTAGATATAGTTATCCCTTTCATCTCCATTGCAAGTCCACAAGACAGATAATAACATTCTCATAAAAAAAACCAAGGTCACAAAGAAGTAATTGGAGCAAGGGCATAGAGCCAATAGGTAGAAGAACTAAAATTGGAGTCTGTATCTGGCTGCCTCAGCCTCAGTTATCACCTCAGAACTAATAGACTAGCCAGATCTCCTCACCCCACGGGGATTTGCTACAGGCCAGGAACACAGGAGACTAGATTGGGATACATCATCATACACAGGTCATGAGAGTCTCATGGTTGACAGAGCAGAGAAGAGTAGGCTTAGTGTAGGACGTGATTAGAGGGGAGCTGGGTCAGGAGACAGCCTCTGGAACCAGATGTCAGAGCCTTGCCTGACCAGCTGTGTGGCCTTGAGCAGTTTGTTGAACCTGAATTCCAGATTCTTCAACTGTAAAAAGGATTGCAATGAAATGTAGTTACTATGGGCTTTGTAGGCAGTAGAATGCCTAACAAGTAGTAAACATTTATTAAATGTTAAGAGTTGTTTTATTCAAATATTTGAAAGTCCATTAATGCTAACAAGAGACTGGCTATGGTCTGCATAGCCCAGACAAATAAGTGCTATGCAGGGAGGACAGGAATATATTTTATTTAATTATTATTTTTTAAAATTGTGATTTGGGTGCATATTTACAAAGAAGACTCGTTTTACTCTCAACAGTTCATACACGTTTGATTCCACAGCCTGCTTATAATCCCCAACCACAGAAAGTTCTCCTCCTCCTCCTCCCTGTGTCTACCCCTTCCCTGTACCCTTCTTGTGGGAAACAGGAACATAAAAAATAATAATAATTACATTGAGCATTGTGCTCTTTTCAACTGTCTATATGGGATCAAACTGCCTACAGCAACTCAAAAGATTAGATAGGAGGAACCTTAGGAGAAATGAGTGTATGTTAGTGGGGGAGGAACAACTCAGAAAAGGAGGGTGAGAATGGTGCACAACTGGAAGAATATAATCAGTGTCACTAAACTGTCTGTGTAGAAAACGTTGGATTGGTGTATGTTTCACTGTTCATACTCTCAACAGCAACAACAGGATAAATTGAATTTAGAAAAAATAATAATAATTACAACACATTACAGAGAGTGGACTCAGAGAGGAGTATAGGCAGTGTTCTGTGGCAGCATGGAGACCGCTCAGACTCTGCTAGGCGAGTTGAGTTGAGAAGGAAGGATTCTCCAAGGAAAAGCATTTGAACTGGGTTCTCAGTGGTGGGGATGGGTTAGAGCTCATAAATGGAAAGGGAGGGGCCGTGGGATGGACCATCCAGGCAAAAAGCATGATGCCTTTGGAGACTGACAGGATTTGGGCTAGCAAACTGGCCCTGACATGGAAAATCCGTAGGGATTAGTGAATCCCTCTAGGAAGAGCTTCAGCCCCCAAAGTTTTAAAAGTGATCACCTATTTCCTTTTATTGTTGTTGCATTTTATTTCATCAGAATTTGAGAAGAAAATTCTGTAGTTTGTTTTGTTGTTGTTAGTTGCCATTGAGTCAGCACCAACTCGTGGCTACCCTGTGTGTCACAGAACAAAACATGGCCTGGTCCTGTGCCATCTTCACCATCATTGGTGTGCTCAAGTCTGTTGTCATGGCCACTGTGTATTTTGAGTGCCTTCCAACCTAAGGGCTCATCTTCCAGCATTATATCAGACAATATTCTGTTGTGATCTATAGGGTTTCCATTAGTTAGTTTTCTGAAGTAAGTCACCAGGCCTTTCTTCCTAGTCTTAGTTTGGAAACGCCACTGAAACTTGCCCACTGTGGGTGACCCTGCTGGTATTTGAAATACCAATGGCATAGCTTCCAGCATCATACCAACACGCAAGCCACCACAGTACAACAAATTGACAGACAGGTGGTGGATAGTTTGTTACAGCTCAGTATTTTCCAGAAAGACAGGTAACCTGGAATATATGGGTGATTTTTCTAGGCATGCTATTTAGTTTTTTGTGAGTCAGTGCAGTTTGTAACTGTTGAGGCACATCTTTTAACTGTAAGGATAATGTCAAACTAATTTGCTCTTACATGGTCAAAAACCCGAAATTCAGATACTTTGTTGAAATCTGAATAATAAAGCATCTTCTAGTGAGAGATGTGTTTTCTTAGGTGCCACTGATGTAATTTCAGTTTAAAATAGTATGCTTTTAATGAATGCTTCTCTGGACTGGTGAATAAGGAACAATCTTTAAACAAAACTGGCTGAAAGCATTAGAGCAAAAACCCATGTTTATTACTTTTGACAGGTAACTGTTGAAGCACCCCAGCAGTTTACAGGCTAGAACTTAAAAACCTTTATCACAGTGACTCATGTATTAAATTCTTAAACTTGTTGGCAGTCTATTTATGGGCTTTGTATATTTCAGTACAAATGTTATTTGTCAACTTTTGTTTCTCCATCCAGTATCACTTAGGAATTTTTAATTATTGTTGCTGCGTGATATGGTCTGTTATCTGATAGACCTTGACTCACTGCTTCTTAAGAGTATGCTTTTGGCCCCCTGGCTCTTTATTTTTTCAGTTGAACTTTAGAATCATCTTGTCAAGTCCTGTGTTGAATTTCTGTATCCATCAAGATACACATTTACACGTTTACGCTGTGGAAACAAGCCACAAATCTCAGTGGAGTAAAAACAAAGATTTCTTTCTTTCTCACAGTGTGTATGCACCTCTTGTTGGCTGAGGGCTCTCTATCTCTGTCATCACTGTCCTCACAAGGAGCCTGCTAATGTAGTGGCTGCCAGTTGAAGCATCACCTGAGGGAGTAAAGGAATATGGTTCAGAAGCTTCTACCCAGAAACAGTGAAGGGCACTCTGCTTACAGTGTGTTGACCAAAGTTACACAGCCAAGTCAAACTGCAGTGGGTGGGGAAGATACGTCCTTCCCAGGGAAGAAAAGCAGATATTAGTGAACTCTAGCACATTGTGTCACTGTTTTTGTATGTGAATTGTAATTTACAAATTAACTTGGAAGAGTTTATTTTCATCCATCCAGGAATATGGCATTTTCCTTCAGGTCTTCCTTTCTTTCTCCCATAAAAGGCTTCCAGTTCTATTTGTGCAGGAGCCAGTAGTTGTCAACCTGGCTGCACAGTAGAG